TCCCCCCCCCCCCCCAAAAAAAAGCGTAAATTTAAGGGGAAAAATTATATGAGAAATAACAAATAAAAGCCGTGGCCAACCTTCTCCCGACACATGACCCTGACTTCTAAAAAGCAACACAGTGAAACACAACAACTTATGAGAAACAACAAAAAAAAAGCCATGGCCAACCTTCCAAGCACTGGGGGTCAAGCGCCAGCGCCCGCCGGAACATGGACACCGCCTCCCCGGCATTCCCCGTCGCCCTCGCAGCGCACGCCAGCAAGAGCCACGCCTCGACCCCTCCCCCGCCCCCGCCCGCCCTCCACATGAAGCTCCCCGATTTCCCTTCCGGTGCTGCTGCTGCCGCTGCTACTCCTCCTCCTCCTCCCCGCAAGAGGATTTCTTGTTCGATGGAGTCGAAGTGGGCCGAGCTGCCGAGCGAGAGGACTCGGAGCAGCTCGTGGGTCCGTTCGTCTGAAGGTTTCCACCTGAGGCTTGTTGTCGCCGGCGAGGCGGAGGCGAAGCAGGAGATGTGGGCGAGGCATACCGTCGCGTGGCGGTTTCGCGGGTCCAGGTCCAAGCTCTCCTGGGATTGCGGGGGGGGGAGTAGTGCCATGAACAAATGCTTTTGGTCGCATGCTGCCGTCACGTCGTTACTTCGGTGTGGGAGGGGGTCGGGCCGCAAGCTTACGGGTACAGATGGGGGAGAGCGACTTCCGATCACAGCGACAGATCACGAAAAGCTAGGAGAACATTATCACGTGGTCGTATCTCTATCTGTCCTCTCTTCTGGTTGCCTCCCCCCCCCCCTCTGTGATTCTCCATCCCTCTCTGCGGCCCTCCCTCCCGCCGTTCGTCTCCCATATCATCTGCTGCCCCCCCTGCCACCCCCCCCCGTCACCTCCAACCGCCCCGCCGCAGCCTCCAGATCCCCCTGCGCCAACGACCCCAGCCCCCGCAAGAACCGACACATGGCTAACGCAGGGTCGTTCCCCCCACCCCCGCCCCGCAGAGTCCCAGCCGCTCCGCCAACTCCTCCGTGCTTAGACGTGGCTGCGCCGAGAGGGTGCAGGGGTGCCGGGGGCGGTGGCGGGGTGTAGGCGGCTGAGGCCCCGGTGGGTCGCGTGGAGAGGAGGAGACTGGCTCTCCGCCAGGCAGACCGGCGTGCTCCGTACGCGTGCTCCGCTGAGGGGATGGATGGATGGATCGATCACACAAAATGTGTCGTTAGGCCGTTGGCGGTGTTGTGCTTGTTGTTGTTGTTGTTGTTGCCCTTGTTGTTCGGCGTCATATGCCTGGTGTATGTGACGCCGATGATTCATATATAACGCTTCGTTGTTCCTGGCGCTATTGCCTCGTACCACTCTGCCATGTGGGTAATCTCCAGCCCTTCTCGTAGAAGTGGTCCACCGGAAACCAAGAAGTCGTCGTTCATCAAAGGTCGCAACAACCCAACCAACGTCACATGACCCCCCCAAAAAAAAAAGCGACAGCGAAAAAACAAATGAAAAAAAAAAAGTACAAACGAAATGAAAGCACATCAAGGGGAACAACAAATCGAAGAAACCAGTGAAAAAAAAACGACGAAAAAAAAACATACAGCAAGACCTCCTTCCGTCTCTCACCCACGCAGACGATGCGCGAGGCCGCGGCGGCACGGCCTAGGGCTAGGTTGGCAACGGCCAGCAGCCAGGACATCCGAAGAAGGTGCAGGAGGCGAGGCGCAGCTTCCGATAACGGCAGACGCTTCCCTCTTTACTTGTAGCGGCGGCGATGGGGGTCCACGCGACGTTGTTGGGCGGTGTTGTAGTCGTTGTTGTTGCATGCAAGAGGCTCTTTCATCGCTGTTCCTGGCGGCTACTGTTCTGTTGTTGATCATTTCGACTTTGGGATTTGTTGCTGTTGCTGCTGTTGCTGCTGTTGCTGTTGTTGTTGTTGATGTTGTGGAAGAGCGAGCAGCACGCATGAAGGGAGTTTTAGACACAAGCTCTGTGGTTCACCTACAGGTCGAGCAGTGCACACCGCATATGACACAAAACACACACACTCTGGGCCGATTTTCAAAGATCGATTACTCCACGACGAAGAGGATGCACAAACGAAAGGATACATTTTCGAAAAGCTCTCGACGAGATGGTTCCAACGCCGCCGTTTTCGGCGCTGTGACTCCTCACGCTGTAGAGAAATAGAGATCTAAAAATCGTGTGTTATCTTGTGTCACATACGGCATGCGTGAGCTCTCCGGGAGACCCCTCCACTCACCCAGCGCCCGGCCCCTTGAGCGCAGAGCCGAACGCCTCTCGTAGCGCGTCAACCCCCCAAAACACGTCTCTAGCCGCCTCCTCTTCCTCCTGCTTCATCCTCTCCTCGCCTCCCCCGCCGCCCCCCGCCCCCTGCCCGCGCCCCCCCCTGCCTGCGGCGCCGCCACCGCCTCCGTTGGAAGCGATGCTTGCAGGAGTATCGGGGTCCGCGGCCGTACCCTGTGCAGCAGCGGCTGCGGCGGAAATTGTGGCCTTTCGGCTCGCCAGTACACGCACGCCCACGGAGAGCGCCTTTGCGGGCTGGAGGTGTGGGGG